CTAAAGAGCTTCTGTCAGATGATTATGACATGAACTTGTTTTTCACATCCCTAGCTAGAGCTTGAAATATGAGGGGAAGAATCTGACCTTGTGGAAGTAAAGGCAAGGAGGAGAGAGGACTTTTGACCACGAAGGTTGAGTGGGTCTCAGAAGAATGGCCTCAGGCCATTGCTAAAATAAGTGATGGGCACCTCCAGGAAGGGAAGTACCTCTGGAAGGCATTCTCTAACTGTGAGTTTTATGTATCTTTTTACTACAGTGTATTTTTTTTTCTTTTCTTTTCTTTTTTTTTGAGATAGAGTCTCACTCTGTAGCCCAGGCTGGAGTACAGTGGTGCGATCTTGGCTCACTGCAACCTCTGCCTCCAGGGTCCTGGTTCAAGCAATTCTCCTACCTCAGCCTCCTAAGTAGCTAAGATTATAGGCATAAGCCACCATGTCCAGCTAATTTTTGTATTTTTTTGTAGAGATGGGGTTTCACCGTGTTGGCCAGTCTGGTCTTGAACTCCTGACCTCATGATCCACCCGCCTCGGCCTCCCAAAGTGCAGGGATTTTTAAAAGTTGACACCAAGCATTCAGTATAGTTCATGGACCAGCAAACTACAGCGTATGGGCTGGCTGCTAGTTTTTGTAAATACAGTTTTTAGCTGATCACAGCCATGCTGATTTGTGCATGCATTATCTGTGGCTGCATTCACACTATAAGTTGAATCATTGCAACAGTGATTGTTTGGCTAACAAAACCTAAAATATTTACTATCTGGTCCTTTAAGAAAAAGTTTGCCCCCAAAATAGGTTTGTCACAGATTTAAGTTTACTTGTGTTTGAGAGGGAATGGAAGCTGTCTTGACCACCTCTTGGAGTAAAGCCTTCTAGAGAAGTGCAGAGGTCATCTGAAAATAGAGATTGGGGCAGCAGTCGAAGTAAGGGGAGTGAGTGCTACCAGTCTTGAATTTGTAGAACATTCAAGCACTGCCCAGGGAGTCTCAGAAATCCTCGGAGAGGGGACTAAGCTTCCTGTCATACCAAGTGAGACCTTGGATCATATGACATATTTGAGCTCCCATTAATGAAGATTTTGGTCTTTGGATTATATCTGGGACTGATCTCAATCCTTAAGGAGATCCAGGAATATGTCCTGAGTAGAACTGCTAAATGTGTGAAGAAAATAGCGCTGTTTAATATAGAGTGATATTGCACAGGCTCACTGTATGATTGTATCCCACAGCAAATAGTACATTGCTATATCCTAACACCTTCTGAGATGAGGGGATGACAAGAGTAGAGGTAAGAGGCACTTTTTTGAATAAGGGTGTCTCAAGCATGACACCAAATATGTACAAAGCTACTCAGGTTTTTCATTACCATTTCTTAAAATTTTAAATCTTAAGTTTCCCTGAGAAGTGAATGAATCATATACTAGCTATTATAGATTGGATTTATTTTAGTGGAATTGTTCCTGGAGTGAGAACAGAGCTACAATTTGATTGATCACAAGTTATTCCATTGCCCCAGGTAGCTATGGGAAATTTCCAGGAAACAGCACTCGGACTAACATCATCAATTGGGCAGGCAATGGAGCTCAGTCTGAACTTCTTTATCAGGGAGCAGAGTGGTGCCCTAAATTCTATGAGACTTGACTTTTGGATTTTGGATTTCCCAGAAAAGTTACTATTTATGCATAGTGTTCTGGCTTATACTATCTTCTACCCAGTCTCAGGAAACGAAGGGCTCAGATGCTGATGGCAATGCTTTCCATTAACAAAATTTCAGCCTCCACTCATGCCATCCCAGAGAACAGGTTACTAGCAACCGTGGAAGAAGTGTTTCTCTCTCCTCTGTCAATTAAATTCCAGAAACTTCACTCTCTTTAAAAAGTGACTTAATCATCAGGAACTGCAATACTGAGTTGGCCAATTATTTTGAAATCACAGTTACATCCAAATTTTAAAAAAGAAGTCATCTTTGGACTTAGCCACTACCGCTTTTAGACCATCTGGATCCCCAAGCCTTCAGTATTTATGGTACATAATCTCCATGATAATGCCTTCATCATTTCATTCATTTATTCATTCATATAACCATTCCAAAGATACTGGATACTGATTATGGGTCAAACACTACTCTAAAGTATAAAGATAACAAAGACATAGTTCCTGCCCTTAACCAAATTATGTTTTTAGGAAACAGAATGCCTAGATTAAGCTTGATTATGATTGTCATGAATAATAACATTGTCATTCAAAATAGGATAGGACAATAACAAAATTTGGAAAATGCTTTGGTATAACTCGTGAACTAGCTTTGAAAACACTTTGCAAAGCAATGTTTTAGAAATCTTTGATGGATTGAAAATTTTTCTCAGTGTTATTACTTTGATGGATAGCACTGATTTGCACATATTCTAATCTTCTTTAAAATATTTTTAGTCTGAGTCTGAGTCAGGAAGACTGCTTGAGCCTAGGGATTTGAGACCAACCTTGGCAACACAGTGAGACCCCATCACTAAAGAAAATAAAATAGGCAGGCATTGTGGTTCACATCAGTAGTCCCAGCTACTCAGAAGGCTGAAGTGAGAGGATCACTTGACCCCTTCGGTAAGCATTAATTGTGCTACAGCACTCCCGCCTGGGGACCGAGCGAGGCCCTGTCCCAAAAATATATTTTTTAACATATTATTTAACAACATATTTAACATATTATTATAGTCACAATGTGCTACGTCTCTTATAGTGCTAGCACAATGGCTTATCCACAGTAGACACCAGCAAACATTTCACAGGTTCATTGATTTTAAATTTGGAAAACACTTTAGAAATTAGCTAGACCTATAGTCTTTAACTTCAATAGGATTTTTGACCATTTTGAAAATCT